AAGTGCTTGAGGGGCAAATGCATTGCACAATGTGCAATGGGCAACCACAACATGAAACTCTGCTTCCAGCACTGCCAGAAAAATACATCTGATGTGCTTTGGCAAATAACTAACTCCACGCTTGTTATTTTGTGCCTTCAAGTAATTTTTGACTCATGGCTACCCTAAGGTGAATTTTGTTGTTATTGTGTGCCTTCAAGTTGTTTCCAACTCATAGCAACCCTATAAGTCATGGGTTGTTGTTTTTTAGCAAGTTTCTCCAGATGTGGTTTGCCATTGTCATCCTCTGAGGCGGAGAGAGTATGACTTGCCTAAGGTCACCCAGTGGGTTTTCATGGCCGAGCTGGGAATTGAACCCTGGTCTCCAGAGTCATGGTCCAAAGCTCAAACTGCTACACCACACTGGTTTTCAGACTGGGTAAACCTACCATGGGGTTTTCTTGGCAAGATTTCTTCAGATTGGGTTTGTCATTGCCACTCTCTCAGGCAGAGAGAGTATGGCTTACCCAAGGTCACTCAATGGGTTTCCATGGCCGAGTGAGGATTCAAACCCTGATCTCCAGTCATAGTTCATTGCCCAAACCACGATGCCACATTGGCTCACCCCACATACATAGCACAAATTACATATATATATAAGCCATTCACAGAGTGCCCACTACCACCTGTAATTTGCATAAGCCCAGTATGTAAGGACATACCCAATAAAGCAGAGCTGTACCAATGAACTGTGACATGCCATAAATGGTCAGGTATTTGAAGACTGCAAAGGAGGACACCAGGGCAGCACGGCCTTCCCTGTGACGGAAAAGAGAACAGTCTGTGATCTGCCCACTTAGGGCTTAGGGGCTTTCAGAAAAACATTCAGCCCATAAGAAAGAAACATACATATGTGACTGGAAGAAACAGTCATGCTTGGGGCAACAGGTTGGCTTCTCACACAGTGTTTCACTATTACCTTATAATCCCAAAGATGGCAATCTGGAAACCAGGACCTCAGGGAGAGGTGTAATTGGGAAGGGAAGGAGAAGAAAAGCAAGAGAAATCTTAGTTCCTCTTCAGAAGAAAGAGGGTTCCAGG